ACATATACATATACATATACATATACATATACATATACATATACATACACATACACATACACATACACATACACATACACATACACATACACATACACATACACATACACATACACATACACATACACATACACATACACATATACATATACATGCTGTAAAATAGCAAGAGATCGAAGTTACAGAGAAACCAGACTGTGTGGTGCACAGTGGTGTAATCCCAGGCCTTGAACTCACAGAGCTCTTCCTGCCTCTGACTCCCAACTACTGATATCAAAGGCATGTGCTACCAAAATTGGCTTTTCTTGTATTTATTTTTGAGGCAGGTAAGAATTAAATTCAAGATTTCTCTGCCTTAGAGAAAGTCCTGTATCCAGCCACCATGCCCAGCTCATCATCAGAGCCAGTTTTAAATTTATCCATGTTGTATATATTTTGGGTTTTTTTTTCTTTTATCACTGAGTACTGTTCCATTTTGCACAAATATCAAATTTATCCTTCCCTGTTGACAGATAATTATATGGTCTCCAACTTGAGAATATTATGGATGTGCTTACAATGAATATTCTTGCACCAGTTTCTCTGTGGATACATGCATTCAATATTCCTGAAAAAGTTCTTAGAATTGATGAGTCGTGGAATACACGTTTAAATATGAGTTTTATCCAAAGAAGCAGCATTTTCCATTCTCACCCCTGAGAGGTTTTTGTTAATCATTTGAAAAAAAAAAAAAAAAAAAAAAAAAAAAAAACCTTTAAAAAGAAAGAAAAATAAAAGTTGTTCTTAATGCAAAATGAACAGCAGCAGCATATAAACAGCTTCCTGAACTATTTGTACAAGGTAAGGAACCCAGCCAGAAAGGTGTGGTGCTGACAGCCGATCTCCATGTAAATACTGTGATTTAAATCATTCGTTTAGAAATACTTCCAGTCGTTTAGATCAAAGGCTTATGCACAGATAAGTCATTTGGGAGAATCAAACCCCAAGAGAAACAGAATTTGTGTAAAGCATCCTTCAGGTGAGCTTTCTATTGCATTCAAGGCGAGATCCGAAGTGTAAAGATAGTCTCCCCGCAGAGTCCATGCTTACCGAGCAGCCCAGGACGGTGAGGAACGAAACTTCTCTGTGCCTGACACAGCTCGCCCCCAGGCACTGATTCGGCTTGGCTTCCCTTGAGCTCTGCTTCAAACAAACAGAGCAGGGAACTTTATTAATGATGCACTCTGGGGCACAGCCTGTGACTGGAATGGGGCTCAGCTCAAAGCAAGGGAGGTGGCTCCTCAGTCCTTTCTGCTTCAAAGGTGTCCTGGCTGTGCAGAGCTCAGGAAGTAACAGCTAAGGTGGCCAAGCCCAGAATGCCAACTCCAGCCTCAGCACCCTCCGGGATACGGGACTTCTTTCTTCTATTATAAAAATTCAAAACTGACAATAAGCTAGTTGTCCAAAAATGAGAAATGGTTACTATTAGCCCTCTGCAGAACAGTGGAACCATTATGTTTAAGAGCAGAGAATTATCGGTGTGAAGCCTCAGAAAGTCAGCCAGGCACCAAGCAGGACCTCTCCACACAGATGGGCATGGCAGAAAAGCAAAGTGGTTTCAGAGGCCTTGGAACACACTGTTGGCAGGTAGTTTCAGAAAATTCCAGAAAAGACTAGGCCTTGATAAACCATGAGTTTTCAGACGACTTTTACCATTAGAAGTGGTCTAGCATGAGCTTTGTGGGAGGGGAGGCTATGAAACTGAATTAAGTAGTAACCAGACCATTGATTGACTCAGTGTCCATAAGAGCCTAGTGAATCAAGTACCATTGTCTCCATTTTAAAAATGGCCTCTGCCAGGTATACACCTATAATCTCAGCATTCAGAAGGCTGAGGCAGGAGGATTATAGGCTAGCTTTAGCTACATAGCAAAACCCTATCTTTAGGAAAAAAAACCTCTTTGTCAGCAGAGTTAAATAGTTTTCAGAAGTCCCCACCCACACACCTCAGCCTTCCTGAGTGTGCACCTTGTATCCCATCTACTCAGAAGGCTGAGAGAGGACAATGCTGAGCCCAAAGTCAACTTGAGTTACACAACAAACCCTGTCTCCAAAAACAAAACATAAATAATAATAGTAATAATCTCCCCCCAAGTCAAGCCACATCTCGCATATTCAAGCCCTCACTCTCACTCTCTAGAAACTTTTGATATTACAACATGAGAGTGTCATCTACAAAGTTCCTACTTGAGAACCGTGCAATCAAGATGATGATAATAATAATGAAAGAATAATGTTTTAAATAAATTTCCAATTTCATGTTAGGTGGTACATTGACTGTGCCTGCTCTAGACTTCCCTGACAGCAATGGATAAAAGGAACTAGAGCCAGGACTAATGGCACACACCTTTAATTCTAGCACTCAGGAGGCAGATGCAGGGGATCTCTGTGAGTTCAAAGCCAGCCTGGCCTACCCAGCAAGATCCAGGCCAGCCAGGGATACATAGTGAGACCTTAACTCAAAAAGAGGGTGTTGGGGGGATAGACTAAGTTATGTGTTAGAATTACGTTCTTGGGAACAAGTAACTCTCAGCTGCCCAGGATTTGTTTTCCTATAAGAGAGTTTAACGAAAACCCTCTCCCCAGAAGGGCATGGCCCTGAGTCACTGAGGGCTCTGATGACAAGGTTAAGCTTGTATGACGGTGAGTTTTCCCACCTTCCTCCTCCAGACCAGAAAGAACATGATTCCTCCTATCTGACTCCATTTCCTATTGCTGCATTTCTTATTTTGGCATTTTGTTTTGTCTTACTTTGCTTTTGTTTTTTGTTGTTGTTGTTGTTGTTGTTTAAGACAGAGTTCCACTCTGTAGCCCAGACTAGCTTAGAACTCACTGTGTAACCTAACCATTCTAGCCAGCAATCTTCCTGTCCCAGCCTCCTGATTGCCAGAATTTCAGGCATGCACCACTGTGCCCAGCATTTGGATCTCCCTGATAAAGCAGACTAGAGCCCTTAGCTGGTTTGCCCTCATTAAACTACAAAGGTCAATTCTTTTCCGGGGTTTATAATCAGCGAGCTCTCACTTCACTCCCACAATGTTTTCCCAAGCCTTTTGCAATTATGGCTCCTTTCTCTAGGTTTCCTACAGCAGGCATTTGAACATAAAAAAATTAAGGCACAAGCACGTGCCAAAATAATCTGTTCCCAAGATAGTAAATGCTGAGAAGTTGTATATTAGCACACGCCGAGTGCTGACTGGCTGGGGCATGATTAACCTAATAAGCTTAAAGCTCCACTGGCCATCCACATCTGTCAGGATATGAGAAAAACACAGGTCTATAATCCGTGAGGCTGAAATGCCTCAGAACTGTCCCAGTGCTCGCTAACAGCAGAGGGTTCAAAGCTTAGGTGAACAGGCATGTCTTCCTCTTCACTGTGGCATGGGCTCCAAGTCTAGGAGTCTGTGCCATGGACTGCCGATCTGATCTGGAGTTGCCCAGATGGACTATCCAGAGAACCCGAGGATTCTCCAAAGACTGTGAAGGTAAATAATGGTGACAAGCTAAAACCATGGGGTGCACACCCTCACACAACGCCATTGTCAACAGCTTTGCCAAGAGTGGCATCCAGTTTTTTAAAAAGCCCAGAGCAATTTTGCCAGGATGTCAGGAGGGCAGCCAGAAAGGTCCCATTCCTTTGCTGGTTCAAAGTTCCACCTTCTGTGACCCTGGCGGGGAGATGTACCTGGGAGAGAGGCTAGCAGAGGAGACGGCAAATTCCAAGAAGCTCCATACCATGGCTGTAAGACTTTCTCAGCTCACAAAAGATATGAAAGGACCAATTCCAGAGAGCCAAACCTTCCAGATGAACAAATCCCAAAGCCGCACAGCTACGGATATTTCATTCGGGACAGAAGGCTTCCATGGGCTACAAGATGTAGATTTTTCTGGGAAAGAGAGTAAGGAAAACATTCTTCAGGAGACCTCAAAAGGGGACAGAAAGCCAGCATGCCATCAGTCAGATGACCAGGACCATTGCTGCCAAACTGCCCCTGAGTCAAAAGGCAAAGTGGACTTCCCTGAGCCCATGGTAAAGGCCCACCAGCATGCTTATGCCTATCTGCACACCAGCCTCTCCAGATACGAAGCAATCCTGTACCTCATCCAACGAGCCAGCCAGACCCAGGAGCTGTTGCGGCCCATGCTCAGCTTCCTGTTGCTGTGTTTCGAGGAGGTCAGCCAGCTTCTAGGAGAAATCTCCAAAGATGGAGAGCTGCTCCTCCAGGAAGTCAGAGGGGATCTGGCCTGGCCATCGAGGAAAGGCGAGCCCTGGGAACAGCCAGACCTCCTGCAACAGCTGCTGCAGTACACAATCAACCAGCTGCAGGCAGTCCACAGCACAGTGTCCACCCTTACTGGGAGCTTTCTGGAGGGCTCCAGCAGCTACTTCAGCTCCACTGCTGGCCAGCTGGAAGGTAAGCTGAGCACCAAGAGAGGTATAGATGAATGCCTCCTAAGGGCCCTGGGACAACTAGAGAGCCTGACCAGTGGTCACGGTGACCCTGGGCTGCTGGGCCCACCCTTATGTTCTGAGGACAGCGGCATTGGTGCTGACAATGAGTCTGTGCAGTCCACGGAGAAGCTGGGCAAGCGAGCAAGCTGGGACTTTGTAGCGGAGCCTGGAGAATGGAAGCCAGGGACTGCAGCCCAAGTAGAGGCCATACCATCGGGGCATCCCCGGCAGAAAGGTCCATACTGGACAGGTTCAGATGGACTCCAGGACTGTCCACTGTCGAGTCCTAGGATAGCAAAGGTTCAACCTGCTGTACAGGATGAAGCCAGGGGCTCGAGGGCCTCCGGTGTAGGCCCAGATGCAGTCACCTCCAGGCCTCCAGAGGCTGCCAAAAGCATTCTGTGGGACTCGCTGGGGTCTGAGATCCCTGTGCAAACACATCTTTCTCAAAGCTCTGGGTTAATGGATGCTGTGTCCCTGAGTGAAGATGAGGACAGCAGCCTGGAGGAGGAAGATGAAGTTAGCAGCACGGATCTGCCTGCTGAACCACAGAAAGCACTACCTTCAAGACCAAGGTCCTCACCCGCTGCCCGGGAAAGCCTGTTTCAGCCGTACTCCAGGAAGCTTAGGAGCCCCCAGGCCCAGGAAATGATTTTGAAGATGAAAGAGGCCATCAGCGAAAGGATCAAGTTTGTCCCTTTGCCTTCCAGGCCCCAGGACTGGGCTGAGGAGGAGGAGGAAGGGAGAGCAATGGTCCCTCCAAGACCTAGATCAGTCAGTGGCAGCAGGTGGAGCCCTGTGAGGCAACAGAGGTCACAATCAGAGGGATCCCTTCAGAGCCCTGTGGAAGACCCCACCCTCCAGGAGCTGAGGAGGGTCCAGGCAGACCTCAGTCAGAGGCTGGAGGTATTTTATGCCCTGGGCGCCACACGGCAGGGGAGGAGCTCAGAACAACACCTGCCATCCAGGCCATCGGTGCTGTGGCCCAACGCCAGCTGCAGGGTGAGTCCCAGTAGTCCCATCAGTAAGTTCAAGGCCTCCCTCGCCAAAAACTTCAGCATATTGCCCAGTCAGGACAAGAGCATCTTGCAACGAAGTAGTCCCCACTCTGACCATGGCCAGCCCTGCCAGGGAAAGGCTGAGGAGCTGCCAAATGCCGTCCTTTGTTTCGAGAACAGTAGGGCTCCCAGGGACACTGAATGGGACGTCAGGGCCTGTCCCACCAGAACATCCGTCAAGAAGCTTATTGAAACCTTTAGTCCCACTGAGAGCCTGAGGATGCCAAGGGACTCTAGGAACTTGGGACCAAGCCCCTGTCTCAGGAAGTGGGGGGTCCCTGCCATGCCTCCCAGATTTCCTATATATAGAGGGCTAGCCCCTATGTATCCTAAGCCCCAAGTTTCTCCAGCCACAGGCAGAGAACCTCTCAAGGTGAACATGGGCTGGAGGCCTTCTGCACCATTCCCCTCTCTTCCTACAGCAGAAGCATCTAAGAGTGAAGACACAGACTGTGAAACACAGGAGGACCTAGAGAACCTCCCTCCACCACCCCTGGAGATCCTGATGGACAGATCATTCACTGCTCTGGAGCACCCAGAGAGCAGCCAGCCAGCAGCAAGCTCCCAGGAAGAGACCCTGGTACCAGGGCTGCGAGAGGCTAGCCATCCAAGAAAAACATGGGCCTCCCCCAAGCTGAGAGCCTCTATGAGTCCCATGGATTTGCTCCCCAGTAAAGGTACTGGCAGCTCCCCGAGGCTGCACAGCACAGGACCAGGGAACACCAGGATTGTGGGCAATTCCAGAAAGCTGACCTTGGACCTGAACTCCCAGAAAACAGTTAGGCCAAGCCCAGAGGCAGAGGGTGGGGCTCAGATTCAGGCACAAGCAGAGAATGGTGCAAACTTCTCCGAGCATCACCAGAGGGTAATTCCTCAGCACCACACCCACCCCACAGCTGGGCAAAGCAGGACCCTGGAACCCAGCCTGGCCAGACCTTCACGAGGTTCACATTCTCCAGACGCATCCAGGAAGGGTCCAGAGAGAAGCCCTCCAGTAATCAGAAAAGCCTCTCCCCCGAGAGCACAGTGGGCACCCCAAGGGGACAGGAGGCTGCAGAGCCTGCCCTCCTCTCATGGACTGTCCCAGCCGAGCCTCCCCGCTGTTCTCAGCTCTCCCAGCCCCCCTCTCAGTCACAGGACACTAAGCCCACCAGCCACAAGGAAACCAATTTCCCCTCCCTACCAGCCCCTGCAACCCAACTCAGCCCCGGGGAGCCCTCCTGGCCAGCAGACAGAAGCAAACACCCCTTCTTCCGTGTCCCCTTCATCACCTTCAGTGTCTCTCTCTCGGGGGTCCAAGAAGACGAATCACTCCGAGGACAGTGAAGTTACCACAGCCAAAGCATCCAGGAATACCTGCTCAGTAGTCTGCCCAGCCACCTCTTCTCTGTTTGAAGCTAAATCGTCACCGTCAACATCCCATCCACGGATGCTACCAGAACCTTGGGGCCCTTTGAGGACCCAAACAGAAGGCTGGAGGGGCAGCTCGGGGCCACGACTGAGGTCAGATTCACAGAGGAGAACGTCTCTGAGCGCCCTCAATCCCCTTCCTTTTGTCCGAAGGTCAGCTTCAGCCCGCCAGCGCCAGCGGGGCGACCCCTTCCAGGGGCCCGGCTCCTCTTGGGAATCCCATCCCTGCCAAAGCAGGTAAGAGGTGCCTTGCACCACTGCCCAGCCAGCTGGAGTGGGCTCTTTGGACTGTCTGAGTTAGTAGATTTCAGACACTGTTCTAAAGGGAGAGGCGGTGGGGGAAAGGGATGTAGCGAGAACAGCCAAGTCCCCCCCTGACCATGAATGACTGGGCTTTCACCTGATGGACTGGCCTGCCCCAGAGGCTGGCTCACTGCCTGCCTGAACCCGACAGCTTGACTCTGTTGTCGCTTCCCCTGGGAGGTTCTCTAACCACCAGGTCCCAGGACACTTTAAACTCTTAAAGATTATTGAGAGCCCAGTAGTTTTTATATATGTGAGTTACACCTACGATTTTTGTTAGACGTTTAAACTGAAAAATATTTAAATATTTTTAAAAGAATAAGCCCATCCTATACTCACACAAATAGTATATTCCTGTAAAAAAAAAAAAAAAAAAAAAAAAAAAAAAAAAAAAAACGTTTATTTTCTTTTTGCTGTTGGCTTTAGATAGGGCTGGCATTAAACTTACAGCCCTCTTGCTTCCACTTCCTGAGTCCTGGCATTTGGGGCACCATGCCAGGGCAAAATTGTATATTCATTAAAAGAAAGGAGAGAGAAAGAGAGAGTTGATGAGTATTGCCATCTTACATTTTGCAGACTTGTTGGTTTCACCTGGCTTAGTAGGAAGACATCTGAATTCTCAGATCTGCCTCTTTAGCCTGTAATGCACATCTATTCATCCTAAGAGCATGGACCAGTAACACCTTTGGATTACGATTTTTTAAAATTGTACTTTAAGCTCACACACACACACACACACACACACACACACACACGCACACTCTGAGGTGTCTCTGAGATACCCAGTAAGCCATAGACCAATTAAGAATGGATACTGAGGGCAGGCATAGAAATAGCAAGGAGGCGTTCCCAGAGCTCCGAGGGCTTGGCTCTCCTTCCCCACTAGCTTCCCACATCTGTAGGGTGAGGGTGTGCCTTTCCCGGCAGCAGCAGGTTGATACACGCCATCGGCCCCACCTGTGGACAGCGCACAGCTGCAAGGGCAGGGAGCCAGCGGAATTATCCCACGGGCACTGAAAGGACTCCTAGGCTTGACTGCTTGTGTTACAGAGTACACAGGGCGGGAGTGGGGACATATCAGCCTATTGGAGAAACACTCTGCCAGGGCACTTGATATCAAGATCAGCTGCGACGCCAGCGCGCGCTCTGTCTACAGTTGTGTCAACCAGCAGTTAATTTCTGCCAGGGCGATAGGCATCACAGGCTTCACAATGGGTCCAGGCATAAATGGTATTTTTTTTTTTTTTTACCAAGTGCTCGGCAGTCAATTTTAAATAAAGATAATATCTTGGGAAAGTTGTGCGTTGTAATAGTTCTATAACCTTCCCCAGCCACTTGAAAGAAATGAATTATTGATTATTTTTGAAAAAAAAAAAAAAACTTAACGTAACGCTGCTCTTTTCTTAAATCTAAAATGCACTTCCTATAGAACGCTGGCTTTCATCTAAGAACCTCGATAAACACTGCTTTCTCTGATATTAGATTTCTAAAACTGTGCCCTTCAGGAGGAGAGCTTGAGAGAACAAGGACAATAAAAAGCCATTAATTAAAAACACCAACATTTTAAAACAGCAGGAGCATAAAATTGCTCAAGAAGAAAATAATGCCCTTCTCCCAGGCTTCTGCTCCAAATAGGGCAGCCTAAAAGGCTGTTTTATGTTCTGAATCTCAATACTTTGTGTGTGTGTGTGGGGGGGGGGGGTCAAGTAGACAAACTTGTGACTTGAAAGAAGAACCCACCTGAGGTCAAGTGGAAGGTCGATTTGTCATTTGCCCCTACCCCCCTTCCCTTTGGGAATGACTATGTTCTTCCAAAGTCTGAACACATGAAGGGGAAATGCCTTCTCTCCCACCAACCACCCTACATCCGGGTGTGCATTGGCATCTGGAAGCAGAACGTCATCCACAGTAAGAGCCCTGGGCCTTACTACAGAAAACAAATATAATTTTTCTGCCCTCCAGGATATGAGAAAACCATACCAGGGGCTTAGGGACAGCTTCTCTGGGACCACATGACAAGCTGGTGCCAGGAGAGGCTAGAGAGTGCTTCCAGCAGGGGCTTGCAAAGATATACTGCCACGCCCATTTCGTCTTGCAGCTGAGCAGGCTCCAGTGCCCTTGAATTGACTTTGACCCCGTTTTTGTCACTCCATGCTAGGCACAAGCCTGTTTTGTAGTAAAAGAATGATGCTTCTATCCTCCTGTTTTTTGGAGGGTGGAGAGGTAGGGAGGAGACTGGAGATCAGGAACAGTCATTGGAGTCCCCCCCCCCCCCCCCCCGAGGCTCAGCCACTGAGTTTTGACTCTGTGTATATGCTGAATCCCCAGGTGAGAATGCATCTTCAGTCTCAAAGTATTGGAGTCCTAGAAATACTCCAGAAGGCTCTAGACTCTCTCCCCTATATGCAATGCTTTTTACCATTGCCTGACCTGAACTGGTAAGGTGGGAGGGAGCATTGTGCAAGTCCCATGCGGTACTTGGTTCAGGCTGCCCACTGGCCAGCAGGACAGCAGGTAGGCAGTCTGTCTTCTTAACAATTCCAGGAAAAGAGAGAACCACAACCATAGAGTGACAGCCTGTGAAATCAGCAGGCTCCTGGCCTCAGCTTCATGGAGATAATGGAACTTGGGTGGGGCTGAGAGAAATAGAATCCTAAATCAAATTTTCATGCCTCCATGCCAGCCCTCACAGAGTAGCATGTCTCCTCCCCTACCTGCCAGGCCCTGGATGGCATGGATGAAGTACGACCTGTGTATGCTCCCTATTTTCCAAGGTCTCGGGGGAGAAGAGTGAAGAGAGGAGGCAGTGGAGGGCTATAGATCACTGTGGGCCCTGAACACCTGCAGAAAGAGCCCTGTAATAGCTTGAGGCCATTACTGGCTCTAAGGCACAGTGGGCTTCTTGATCCTGAAATGTGTGACTATGTGCCACCTTGCCCACCCTCTAACTCCTCCCACTTTGACCTTGTTTATATCTAAACACAGGCTTGTCCACTGGTTTTATATCCCATGTGCACAGTAAGCATGCATCATTATAAAAGCCAAGAGCATGTTGTCACAGGTAGAATGAAGGGCCTTCTGGGTTGTGCAGGAGTCTTGTCCTTCTCTTGTAGTGACCAAGAGCTCTATAGCCAAGGCCCACTTCTCTGAACTTCAGGTACCCAATGACTGTATGATAGGTGGTCCCTAGAGTCCCTTTGGGGTCTGACTGCCTGTAAAGCAGCACCATAGAGACAGTTCCCCATTAACCACAGCGCATGCATATGAGAGCTGTGCACACGGTCTTCCATTTCACCCAGACCTTGGACCTGTGAGTCATGATAAGCTAGGCACTGTTATGATTTCCATTTTACAAAGAGAAAACCTCAGACTCAGAGGGATCAATTCATAGGAAGCAAGGCACACAGATGGCAGGAGGAAGAGCCAAGATTTTGACCCACGCAGCCAGACTTCAGCCTTTCCCAGCAATCCTGAGGCCAACCTGCCAACAGCCAGGCCTGTGTGGCTTTCAGAGTTAGTCCTATCTACCTAGGCTTGTTCCATGCCTGTCACAGCCTCATCTCATTCTCCCAGTCAGAGCTGGAGTTCTGCGAGGGCCCCTTCCCCTTTCACAGCCCTTAGTCACGGTGCTCAGCAGAGGGGAAACTCTACTCTAGCCAAACACTGGATGAGACTGCAGAAAGCGGTTTGCATTTGATTCCATTCAGGAAAAGGATGGCGACTGTGCAGAGCAGGGTTCGTTGGGTTTTTTTGTTTGTTTGTTTGTTTGTTTGTTTGTTTTTTCTTGCTGTTATTGTTGTTTTTAATCCAAGCAACTAAGCCTAGCTCTTTATTAGACATGAAATGCTTTAGAAAAATAAATAAATAAATAAATAAATAAATAAATAAATAAATAAATAAATAAATAGATAGATAAATAAATAAATAAATAAAGGCCCGTTCCCCTGAGGCTTAGAGTCACAAGAGTCTAGGCATACAGGAAAAAGCACGTGTCAACCTTCCAGGTAAGTTTTGGGAGCTAGTTCCTCCCCTGCCTAACCAGACCAACTATGCAGAAATGACAACATAGCACACCAAGTGTAATATGGAAAGGCAGAGGCCTGGCTAGATGTAAGAGGGATGCGGAGGGGAGGGATAGGCAGAGGAGAGTGGGGAACAGGGAAGGAGCCAGAAGGAACATTAGAGGAGTGTCTGACCTGCCACCGTATTTTCTCTTGGCAGCAGCAGCAGCAGCAGCAGTGAAGAGAACCCCAAGCAAGACCTCCCATCTTGGCACGACTCCCGCTACACAGAGTGGCAGGGCAGTAGCACCAAGTGGGCATCTCCTCTGCAGCTCTGTGTGCTGGGCCACGGGCTGCAGCCGGAAGCCCGTGCGAGCCGCAGCCAGGACAGATCTCAGCCAGAGTCACAGCCCCAGCACAAGGAAGTGACGTGACAGATGGCCAATGGGGTCACACTGATATGAGTCACCCTAGAACACATAAAGGACTAGTGAGGTGCTCACACTGCACCATGGATGGTAGGAAACTCACACTGGGGTGTCTTGGAAAGACCTGGAAGATGCCCTGCTAAAAGGTCTCCAAAACCTTAAGCAACAGCCTGGATTCACTTCTGGACCTTGCTTTGCCTTAGGTTTAAACGTTGTTGAAAACTTCAGAGCCCATAATGATACCCTTTATCTTTTCAAGTGCTGGCCTTAATTAGAGGGGAAATACATTCATGCCTAGAGGCCTATGTGTTTCTATATGATAACCGGGGTAATTGTGGCATCATTTAAACCACAGCAGTGAATGAAATAGTGTCCTTCCCTTTTACAGATAAGAAACCGAATGTGTGGGGGAGGGCCCCCCAAGGGTCTTGCTGAAGTTCAGACAGATATGAGACTAGGCCAAAAACAGGCACAGATGTGGGTGGCCTTAGGCTCTGCAGTCTTCATTATATTTCGGTGCCTTTGATTACCTTTGATTATTCTATCACTGTACCTGCCTACAGCATTAGAGGTTGTGCAAACAGTAGGAGAAGCTTATTTTGTTTCAGGCTAAATGGTATGACGGTCAAGGTAGTCAGCTTGACAGAATTCAGAACCAGTGAACAGACAAGCCTTTGACCATGTATCTAATTAGGATTTTCTGGGTTGAGTTCATTGAGGTAGGAAGACCTACCAACTGTGAAATCGGCACCATTTCCTGGGTGGGAGGGTCCTGAACTGCAGAAGGAAGAAGTAAGCCGACTACGCGCTTTCATTTCTTCCTGCTTCCTGACTGGGGATGCAACGTGACCAGCAACCTCCAGCTCCCGCCACAACCATGATAGGCGAACCTGTAAGCTGCAATAAACTCTTCCTCTCGAGTTGCCTTTGTCGAGATATCGTGCCCCCGAAAGGAGAAGAGTAGCTAAGGCAAGCTGTAGCATGGCATTGCCGTCTCCATCAGAGGCTTTGGGAGCTAACTGCTCCCTGATGTGAGAAGATGAGGTAGATTAGAACATCAGGCCCTCTGGCCCACCCCTGCCGCCCCTCTTCATGCCAAGGCTACAGACTCAAAGCTCCCAGCTCTCACTTGCAGCCATGCCACCCTTGGCCTCAGTGTGTATCAAATCCTCGGGCTGAGCTAAACACCCACGGGCTTCTTGGTCTGAGTGAGCACAGCCAAGCCTGTAAAACAGAAGGCCTGTTCTTTGCACCGGGTGGGGGCTGAAGTTCCAGAGACAGGGAGGGCATGAAGCATGCTCACATGCCTGCCCTCCCAACACCCCCAAGCTTCTTGCTAAGTTTATTGCTAGGTCATCCACAGAGAACTTCTGCTGGGGCCGGAAGCAAAGTAAGAAACACTGTCCATGCCAAAAACCCAACTTCTGCCAGTGAGCTAGATACTTGCTGCAGATCCTGGAATTTTTCCATCTGGAGCTGTGGCGTGCTTTCTATTTAGAAAAAGAATTTGCAGTAATTGGGCGATTCAATGCCTGCTCAGTGGGTTGTCAAGACAAGAATTCTCACCCACGGGTACAGCTAAGCAGGCTGAACTTACCCAATCTGCTGCAAAGCTGATGTTTTTAAGTTTGAGAAAATTATAGACCTCAAGTTCTTTTTTTTTTTTTTTAAATAGATCGTGGGCTTAAGCACATGTTATGCTGAGTCCTGGAGCCTCCAGCTACCTCCTGCTCCTGTCTCCCCAGAACCGGGTTTGTGACTCTGACTACCTGAATCTCACCTGACTTGTCTCATTCTTAAAATGACAGTGGCAGGGCTTATCTCTTCAAAGATACCAGAAGCATCATTGATTGAATAAATGACCAAAAGGTGTCATGCTCATCCCCGTTAGGCTGGCTTGTGTTTGTTAGTGTGGCTGTGTGAACCTCAGAGAAGTACCTGAGCCATGCATATAGTTCTGGGGTGGAGTCTAAAATGTGCTACCTTCATTCTGGGTGCCACCCAAAATAGTTGGGCAAGCAGCTTGGGGAACGAACAGGCAGGGCTGGGCAAGCAAGCACAACATATCAGAAGCAAGCAGAAGCAAACAATCTGAGTAGCCTCTGAGAGCTTCCCCAATGGGAGAAGCTTTAGGGACCACTGATCAGAACAGCTCTTGACCCATTCTAGAGTTTCGAGCAGCATTTCTCAACCAGTGGGTCAAAACCCCTTTGAGGGGTCAAATGTCAGGCTACCCCATATATCAGATATTTTACAGTTCATATCAGTAGCAAAATTACAGTCACGTAGAAGCAATGAGATCATTTTATGGTGGGGGTCAGCACAACATGAGGACCTGTGTTCACAGCAGTAGGAAGGTAGGGCGCACATTGGTTTAGGCAGAGTTCCCTGGGGATCTGATGAAACGAGGCAGAGCCTCAGCTACTGGGACTGCACAGGCACTCAGTGGATGAAACTGAGCTGTGGGGGTCCCTGCATGTCTCACAGCCAACAGGGAAATGACCCGGTGAGGTAAGAAGGAAACTCACAACTGAGCCAGCCAGTGCTAAGTCAAACTTCTGTAGTCTGGTGGCAAGCGGTTTATTTTTTTTCACAATAAAACTTTGGGGGAGAAGGGAGAAAAAGTTTTCTCGTGACAATTATCACAACAAAGCTTTAGTTGTGGCTACATCAAAACTCCTTTGCAAGGCACAGCTCTTTAGCAAAGCCCTGTGACCTCCACGAGAAAGGGTTCTAATGACTGAGAAACAATGCTCAGGATTTGGGAGTGGGGGGAATTCTGGTAAAGGCTGGCACCATAGACTAGCAAAGATCACAACATCCACTCCAGCCTTCTGGGTGGAACAGGTGCCAATTTCCTCCATTGAAGAAAAAAAGCCTGATTGTGTAACAATTCCAGTTTCTCGAGTGCTTATCTGTGAGTATGTGGGCCTCTTGCCCTCTACACCTGCATACATGTTTGTTTGTTTGTTTGTTTGTTTTTAAAGCTGTAGTTTTTGTGACTGGAAGCCAGACACAAAGATGAACCAGGGAAAAGCAGATCACCAGCCCAGACCTCCCTCATACAAGGGCCAAACCGAAGAAGTTCAGGTTAGGTTGAGCACATTAGTGTATGTTAGAGTGCCCCCACTGCAGTGCTGAGAGAACTAGAGGTAACCAGCCTGAAACCAGGAGACATGCTACATCAGAGAGGGTCAGCATCCTAGACAACTTCCTGAAAGAGGCAGGGATGAACTTCTGCTGTGCCCCATGAAGGCCCATGCTTAGGGGCCTCCCAGAGACTAGGGCCTGCCCCTTCACCATGCTCCAGGCAGCAGAGGCAGCAGAGGCAGCTTTCGTTCCTTCCATCAGCCATAGATGGCACCTTCTTACCCCTCTAGAGGACTTTCATCTGCCGAGAGCCTTGATGAATTGGCATATGCCCTTACGTGTGATATAATATGAGGCCCCAACTGCCACCAGACCCAGGAAGCAATGACAATGTGCTGATATGGCCCAGTAGGCCACAGGCTTTGAGAATTCTAAGTCACCTTCTACCAGAGAATGTCTGGAGAGAGTTGCCAAAGCTAAGGAGCTGGGAGCAGGAGAGGCAATGAAATTCAAAGGTCGGCAGTGCTGAGCTGACCCCAGGGTGGGTAGGTGTAAGTAATGGGGGCTTGGTCACCATGCCAACCTCACCTAGCTTAAGTTGCCTGTGAGTTAAACTCCATACAAAAGAAATTAAACCCACTTCAAGCTCCTAGGCTTATAGCATCTACTCAGTTCTATCCCTCCTGGGAGGCCAGGCTTTCCCCAAAAGCCATGTCTATGATTCTGCCACAGGAAGTATATCACTGCTAGCCATGAAGGGCAAGCTCACTTCCACAGCTTCTCAGATCCTTTCACCCATGCTTACCAATGCTGTCAAAAGTTCTTGCCTTTGCTGAGGCCAAATCCACTGCTTTTGCTCAAGAGAGAGAACAACAGTTTTTGTTCATTTGTTTAGTAATTAAACCAATGGGCCCAATCCATCAAGCACTCATGAGTGTACTCTTCCATGGTAGAGTCAGAAATCAGCAAGGAACGTTGTTTTATCTGCCATTCGTCATTGCAGACAAGGAGGTGTCTCCACAGACCCCTGGGGTACATCACACCCATATTCTTACTTGGGCTAACTCTCCTGTGGCAATGCACATACAGCCTTCATCCTCCAACCCCATGGGGACCTCAGAGCTGGAAGGAGGGAGGTATCAGCCCAGCTTTTACCCAACACATTTTGTAACATAGCAAACAGATCTGCCCCGGGGGGAAAAAACACAATCTTTTATTTCTATCAAAAGCATTCGCGAAGGGGGAAAAAATAGTGCAAATATAGTATTCTGACAGAGCAGTGATAGCTTTTTGCAAGTATAAATACAATCCTCACAGTGAAATATAACCTCTCTCTCTCTGTGGGCTGTGCCGCTGTTTACTATAAGCTACATTTATTTTCCTTCCTTATGTCACATGCTCAGTCCAGAACCTCAAATAATCCAAACGGATAGAAATGCATGGCAGACAGACTAAAGAGATTTTTTTCCGTTTCATTGCAAACAGCTTATGCTCAACAAGGCTCGATTCATAAATCCTGCAGTGTGAATGAAAGGGGATTTGAGAAACGTATTCTTTTTCTAAAATAAACCAGTGTTCTGCATGTATCAGGGGAGCTGGTACAGTGAATTATGCCTGTTGACATATTTGTCAATTGATCATCTGGTCGACCGCTTACAGGCTGCCAAGCACCCACTCTGTCTTCCAAAGGAAATCTTTTCAGAGGTAATATATTTTTAAGTAGCCCCACATCAAAGATTTTGTTGAACCACCATAAAGTAAATGAGTTTTGAGCCTGTATTAACAGAATATGGTATATTGCACTATCGTTTACTTCCTGTGCCTACCTAAAGTTTAAATAAAGTTCCATCAATCCATCCAGACATTTTTATGAAATGTAATTAAAGATGCATTGCACATGAGGAGGCACAAACAGT